AGGGATTTACCTTATTTAACTTTCTAACAGTAGATGAGAAACTTTGTTACAGTTGGCTGCAAGGACTAAGAGCTCAGTTGCCAATAAATTCAATGGTGTACACTATGAATTTTACGTCAATTACTTTCTATGCCCCAAGCTTCTCAGTCTTATTAAATTCTTCTATGTACTCTATAACTTCATATCAATTTATCTGAAACTGCTTTACTACTAATATGTTATGGCCTGATTAGTTAGGATTCTTAAAGTGCTTATATATGACAATGTAAGACAGGGCAGATCTGCCTCATAGGTTTTCCAAGGTTGAGTTCTTACGGAAGTAGACTACCAAATCATTCTTCATCCAAGCAACTGGTGAGTTCCAACTGTCACCTGTAAGGTTAGTACTCTGAGTAATCTGATACTTTAACCACTGAGCAACTAGGATTCCTTTTGCATTTCTGCTTTAGGAGAATTATTGGATTCCAGAGTCTGGGATAGAAGGAGTGAGTCATGGCAGGATTCCAGTTATTAAACAGGTGCAACAATTTAAAGAAATTAGAGGAAGTCTCTCCCTTATTTTTGCTATTTTTTGATACCATATGGTAGCAGCCAGAATAAAATGCAACAGCTTTACAGTTTTCTGAAACTTAGATGGCACTTCTGCATGACAGTACCTGGATCATGCTGTTCAGTCGTCCTCATCAGTGAGTGAAGCAAAGAACAAAAGCAATGCTATGGCTGCTGCTATTTAAAATAAATATATATATAATTCCAGCACTCCAAACCCACCATTGTCAAGTCAATCCCTACTCTTAGTTAGAATTGCTCCATAGGGTTTCCATGGCTGTAAATCACCAAAAGCAGGTTGTATCATCTTTCTGACCCGGAATGCCTGGTGGGTTTGAACTGTTGGCCTTTTATTTAGCAACACAGTGCTTTAATCACTGAAGCATGAGCGTTCATTGCTTGCAGAATAAATTGCATACACAATTTGTTATTATGAAGTACTCTGGAGTCGATTTCTACTCACAAATGACCCTTTATAGGGTTTCTGGGGAGTGACTGGTGGATTTCAGCTGCTGACCTTATGGTTAGCAAAATTTAAAAACTCCCTTAGCTCCAATTTTAAGCTGAGATTTTTGTATGAGGCTTACAAAGTATATAAAAATCTAGGAACTGCTTTTATTTTTGTGAATGAGCACTTTATGGGTTTTTCTCCGATATAAACTGTTCAAATAAACCAGTTTAAAGACATAAATTATTTTAACCATTGAAAACAAAAACCAAGACAAAAAAAAAAAAAAAAAAAAGAAGAAAAAAATGAAGTTATCCAAAACTTTATTTTTCTTGGATCCACTACCAACACTCATGGAAGTAGCAGTTAAGAAATCAAATGACTTGTTGCATTGGG